GAGGTGGTAATTTCGAAATTTCGTTCAACTTGCATCACACTACAAATGGGCAACAGCCACTGGATGGAACGTGTGAATGCGCCTTAATATTACGTGTTCCATTCGCGGACAGGTTTCTCAACCGGTAAGGTAGGCCGCCATCAACTTTAACGAGTGTTCAGCTTGTATTTAAATAAATTGGCTAGCAATTACGTCTACGTAGGTGCTGTCTTCGCTGCACTCTTTTTCCTCTCATCTTTGCACCATTTACCCCCACCATCGTTACTCAACCTCGTGTTTTACCACGCAGTTTTCGCAGTTTCCAACGAGATTACCCGCGTGTAAAATTATCGTTAAGATTAGCTAACCAAAGACGTGAAACTGCCCCGTGTATATTAATCTGTTCAGCTATTTGAACATTCACGTTCCACCACACGATTTACGAGTGCAGCTGCGCAAAGAGGATTGGCAACCGTAAACGTTTCATTTTCCCCTTAGCGCGCTTTTGCGGTTGAATCTCGCGAGACCCGGCCATTTAGAATTTCTATTTAGACCCGAAATGGGGCCAGAAAATATTTATGTACCGTGTAAGTGTTGAGTCGTCCAGCTCTGTAACTTTTTTCGCCTACCGATGAAAATATCGGCAGCCGAGAACTGTAGAGAGCTGCAAACGATATTTTGCAGTCAGGTGATACTGCAGGAAACCGCCAGATGGCAAAGAGGACTTCTTCCATGTCCTTGGAAACCGAATCCTGCCTTCCTTCCTAATATACTGCAGATCGATATATATACCGGTTGTTTTCATTTTTTTTTCTGGTAATTTTTACACATTAATATTTATTATTTAAATTAGATCAAATTAAATTTTATATTTCAAAGAATTCAAGAAATACTATTTCTTTCTTTGTAAATTTTCTACATGCTAAATTTTCTAATACTCATTACGCTATATTCTCCATTTTGAATTGTTATAAATTTTTTGTAGAAAATTTTTTCTCTATGTCGCAATTTCAAAGATACATCAATAATATTCCAAAATATGTGCATAGCGACTGTTTTTCTTTTTCAATTGTTCTGCTCAAACACTTATTTTATGCTATAATTCTAAATATCAATCAAAATTGAGAATAGTTTTCCTTTAAAGTTCTTATTCGTCAAAAAATTTTTCGTATTATTTTTTTAACATAATTTCTTTTTCTACGTAATATAAAATGCAGTCCGTTTCAATGCACCGCCCAGTACGCCATTATCATCTACCGGCGCAAGTGGTTCTATATCACACAGGTTGATCCCCAAGAGTTTCGATCCGCGCGAATAACGACGACGAGAATCGCGCTTATCTGAAATTCTGACGCTCGTTCATGATCGAATATTCATCCTTGGCTTCCCCTGGGAGATGAAGGGAGGCGGTATAAGAAAGCAAAAGAGAAGAAAACGAGGCGAGGGGGAGAGTATACGGTTGGAGAAGGAAAGAAGAAAGAGACCAACCAAAATGAGAGTCGAACCAGTGCGTTGAACCATGCCGGAGAGGAGACCAGAAGAGCCACCACAGCGATGAAGAATGGATGCTGGTTTAGCAAGAGTGCAGATTTGCTCGAGTCGGGTGCAATGGCCCCCTTTGCTTTCGTGTCCATCTTCTCGTTGCTATAGCTACGCCGTCTAATACCTCCCACCATTTACAAACGGGCTGTTCATCCATTTTCTTTTTGTTCGAAATTCATAAGAAGAGAGAATGTCCATCATCCATTTTGGTATATGTGAGATCGTTCCTCTGATCATATTCCCTGATACTGTGGATTTATCATCACTAATATATAGTGCCGCGAAAATTAACGAATGTCTTACTACATAATAAAATGACGAATATTTAAGACGATTCTCTTTCAAAGCGAAGCAATAGCAATATATTTGAAGAGTCTGTTTAACTCGAAAACGATTTAACACTTGCCTCGTTACATGAAGATTATTATATGTTTTGTGTACATTCTTCTTATTCTATGGGATGAGCATCATAGGAGAGTTTGTAACGCAGGTGGATGTTGTTTTGATGCAAGAAATAGTGCGAAGGAAAAAAAAAAGAGAGAGAAAGAAACTTGTAATAATCATGAAGCCATCAGGTAACTGTCGTCGGTAGCTACAGTGTCCGGTTTTGTGAGAACAACCTTGGTCATTAAATAAACCCCTTTTAGTGGTTGGCTGGTTATCTTCAATGGTGTTTTAAAAGGGGCATTTAGGCCCATTTTGGCTACCCACACAGCCCCTGACACCCTTCCCCTTCTTCTGCGTTATGGTGGCTCTCTTCACGCCCCCACCATATTCGACACGCGTCCTACCATGCTATAAGCTTAAAGGCCCTGACTTTTACGATTCTGTTCAAGTGGTCATAAAACCGGAGTTTATTGCCGTCATGATTTTCAAGCAAACGGGCTGCCACCTGTCGGAGTCCCACAAAAGCGAAAACTGCATCAAGTCTCTTCATCAGGAGGCTCTATCAATTCGGATATTTGATGATTGCCTCGACAGCTCATAATAGCCTTTGAAATACTAATCGTTACCATGGAAATCGTACTCTCGCGTTCACGGTAGCGTTTTCCGATTTCAATTTATTATTTTTATCGAATAATTAATGTTTCTTTTTTGACGTTTAAACATACTAATTTAAATATCGAAACTTAATTTATATGAATCGTTTTAAATTAAAATGCTTTTAGATTATGCACGTACGCCATTATTTATCTTTATACTTATTAAGATTGCATCAAGTAAGATAGGTTCCAAAGAGGAGAATTTAAACTTGATTGCGAATGTGGATTGATGGCATCGTAAATAGTTGCGAAAGTTGACATTATCGCGATAGTAGACGTAATTTTAAAACAGAAAACGTATCCGAATAATTATTCATAGACTGAGTCATTCGGTGAATCGTAAAAATCAGAACCTTTTCCCGAGATATATGGCGAAGTAGGTGGGTTATATCCTAACATTTATAATGGCGAAAGTGAACGAGCAAATAGTCCGGGTCCGGCCCCTGAGAGCAGCTTATGATGGGCATTACTCGGCTCGTTACGGAATAATTTACGAGGTGCGAACCGCGGGGGCGATAATCCAGCGACATTTACATCCCAATAAACATTCCCGATACTGGTGGCGGCGCGCGCCACGGCGCTTGCCCACTTCCCTCCCGAACCTCACTTTTACGGCGTTTTAATTGTAGTCTAATTGGTTCGTAAAACGTCCAAGTATCTCGTAAAAGACGTTTATGATAACGTTCTTGTCGTTCGTACTGGCAATCGCGTCATCATTGAATCCACAGATAGACTGGAAACATCAGACCGGTTGAACCTGAATCTCGAATCGTATAGACGGGGAGATACGGTATTCCCAATTGGCCAAATATTTACAATCTTTCTTTTCTTATTCGTCTTTCTTTACCTTCATTTCGTTCAATCGCGTGACGATCAAACGTTTCCACGTAAGAGTCGATTCGCAAAGACCGTTTTCGACAATAACGATAATCACAAGGTGCCTTGGTTGATGTTGGTCGTTTGAACGTCTGAATGGATCTGGCAGCGTTAGTTCGCGACGAAATACAGAGGTGGCAGTGCACGTATCCCCACGAGCTGTGGGGGCGCGGAGACGGTGAGGGGGACGAGCGGGTAGGAAAGGAAACGTTGCGTGACGCGCGTGGCGTGCAGCTTTCGCTCTACCGTACGGCGGCCGATGTGTCTGTATCCACGGCTGCTCGCGTGTTTCCACTGGTGGGGGTAACACGGGGCGGTGCCTAACCAGTCATGGGCGTCGTTCCAAGTTGGAACTACTTTCACATGGCGTAGGAATTTTCGTGCTGTACCGGCGTGGTACTCGTGACGAATTCAATTCTGATTGGTCCTTAAGCATAACCTCCTCCCTTGGCACCCTGTTTTCTTCCCCCTCCTCCTCACCTTTACAGCGACGCGGGCTAACACTTCTCATCTCCCTCTTAGCTGCCGCAATTTTGCGTCTTACTCTCTCTTCTTATTTCTCTTTTCCTAGTCTCGCTCTTTCTCTTTCTCTTTACCTTTGATAGTACTCTTACTCCCTACGTAGCAACCGTGTGTTTTCGTCTCTTTTCGTTACTCGTTTATCCGCCGATTCCGAGCATTTCTTTTTCCTCTCTCTCTTCTCTATCCTTTTTCGGTTCTCCTTAACTTCTTCCGGTCTCGTCGGCCGTCTTATCTAGTTTAGTAGCGGCTTGAATGCAATGCAGCAAAGCCAAGTAGTGAGAGTATACGAATTTAATCTCGCGGCACATCGTTGAGTTACTCGAACGGTCGACAGGGGGCGCTATGTAGTTTAATCGGCAGAAAGAAAGAGAGAGAGAGAGAGAGAAAAGAGAATCGGTGGAAGAGAGTACGGAAGAGACGAGACGAGACGCGTCGCGTCGTCGAGAGGTGGAGCGAGACGGATCGAGAGGGTGAGTGGCAAGCGTGGAGGGGGCGTATTGTGCGGGGGAGGGGGAACCGAGTGACGACGGAGCAAGCGAGAGAAGTCGGTTATCGCTTCGGAGAGGGGGACGCCGCGTGAAAGACAAGGAGGAAAAGCAGCGCGCGTTCCTCGTCGCCACGTAGAGGCACACCGCACCGTGGAAGAGTGTGTGCGCGCGAGTGAGACCGTGGCCGTTCAAAGGAAGAGAGGGAATGATAGTGGAAAAGAGAAAGAGGAGAAACGATGGCTGGTGGAAGAGAGAAAGAGTGATAGGGAGGGAGCGACAGAGAGAGAGACGGGAAAGTCATCAGTGGAAGGAAGAGAGGCCGATGGTGAAAGAGAGAAAGGAAAGGAGACGAACGAGCGAGTAAGAGACAGAGGACGGTACAGAGTGGCGGTACACGGGGCGCGAGAAAAGCGGTAGTGTGCCGTGGACCACCGCACTGGCATACCGTGGTTCGTTACGATCCCCTTCGTACGTCGCTTCGTACCGAACCTCGCAGTCATCAGCGAAGTCACATTTCGGCTAGTGCTAGTGCAGTGCGGACAGAGTCGGAGCGGTTGCTTCGGTCCTTTTAAAAAAGTACGACCGAGTTTCCGAGACGAGACGCACGAGGCCCCGGGCCTAGTGACCGATTCAGAAAATCATATCACACGATATCATATCGATATACGAGATAGAGGAGAGAAACAGAGAGAGGTGTTCCGCGAGGGAGAGATCGTCGCGTGCCGGCCGACCAAACGTCGACGGGCGCGCACGCGGTAGAGACCCATAGCCAGTTTTATAGCCCGTCTTATTACCCCGGTTTATTGCGTCGTAACGGTTTAACGATCATCGCCCGTTTCCACCACCTAGACCGCCGGTTTACATTCTTACCGGTAGCGGTAACCATAACAAGCTCATAAAAGCCCCCGCCGCTGCCATGAGTCCCATTCGGAATTATACTCGTACGGCCTATTGACATTGACACTCTTGGGTGCAACCGCTTATACCTACCGATGACTTTTATGACCTCTTAAAACGGTTTAATGCCTGTTTGCTTGTCCCTTGTCGACGCTGTCACCTGTCGCCACCCGCGTCAAACAGCGTATCGGTGTTTGGACGCGACGCGCCTACCTCTCGCTTTTTGGCGCCAACTACTACCGGAACACGAACTCGGAACTATCACGACCAATTCGATATTCTTCGTCTTCCGTGAGACAAATAGTGGATCTTAAACGGTGAACGGACCTTTTTAATACATTCGGAAAACGCGACGAGAAATATCGCGCAGAGCATGGACTCTAATATTGTTCGCAATTAAAAAAAAACTTATTTCTCCATTCTCTCCGTCCTCTCGACAATTACGAAGAAAAATAGACGAGAACAATATAAAACGAGAATTGTTTGAACGAGGCCCTTCATAATTCGCCTCCCCGATCGCGAGTTCGCCGTTATATTTTTTATTGTTTCTCGAGTGGCGGTGTTTCAGTGCAAGTGATTCAAAATACCCGGGATAATGAACTCGTATTTTGAGCAGACTGCGGGTGGCTTCTACGGAAGTCACCACCATCAGACAGGAGCCGCCAGTCAACATCATGATCCAGCCACAGCAGCTGCTTATCGAAGTTTCCCTCTCGGCCTGGGTATGTCACCTTACGCATCCACTCAGCATCATCATCACACCTCTTCGTCATTGGGCATACATCCGGGCGGAGGAACGAACACGAGACCACCTCAAGATTCACCGTACGACGCGAGCGTCGCGACGGCTTGCAAACTTTATTCAACAACACCCGAGGCAACTGGACACACTACATCCTCATATTCGACCACAGCGACCAAGGACTGTAAGCAACAAGATCAAGCATCGGCGCATCAGAATGGTTACGCTGCAGTGATGGCAGCTGCGGCCGTCAAGGACGTTTGGCAGTCAGCGACCTCGGGAGCGAACAGTCAGAGCAATTCGGTGGTTCGTCCATCAGCGTGCACTCCAGAAGGAACGAGAGTTGGTAGCTACGGTGGTCTCGTAGGCGGTGATCCAGCATCGAGTCCTGGTAACAACAGTTCCTCGAGGTCCCTCACGTCGTCCTGGAACACCTGCAGTTTGAACTCGTCCGCGAGCCAACCGGTTGCCACGCAACTACATCAGCAACCCACCAACCATACGTTCTACCCCTGGATGGCTATAGCAGGTGAGTTTACATTCATAAGATAGATCTCTCTCTCGTACAACGATTATCATAACAGCCGTGATGAAATATAGAAGCGAGCATACACGATGATGCTTAGGGGAGAGAGGAGCAGCGGCTGTATAGTGTGTAGAAGACCACGTGGTCGGGAAAGGCGTGGTGGATCGAGTTTACTCGGCACCATTATACGCCAGGCTAAATCGCCCTCGTCGAACGTTTCACGGTCAACGCTCGAATCGCGTGAACACGCGTAAAGATAAAGAATCGAACTTTCTCAAGTTTCTCCATGTTTTTCCATTGTATTTTTCATACAGCAAAATTTCGCTATATCGTGGATCTATCATCTATCGCGCCATGGATAAACAAATCATTCCCCCATTCCGCTCTGAAAAATGGAAGACACGAGTATATACAATCGTCAAATGTAAGTTGCCCGTTGTGTTGTTATGTCGAAACTGATCGTAACTTTTTTTTTTTAGATCGAGTCTATTTGTGCGACGATTGAAATACGATGTATCCGTCATGAAACGTAGCCGAGATAACGGATTTATAGTTGGCACTGGACTAAAAATATTCCGCTGTCTTCTGCGCGAATGAATGCACCGTGTGCCGAGGGGATGGTTGGTAATAACTAACCTATCCGCCGTGAGAGCGACGTGCAAAGTGACACTTCCAGTTATCATTAATATGTGCGTGTTTTTTTTCTTCTCTTTACAAGAGGCGCTTCTTTTAAGAGGCATCTCGTTTCCACCCCCGAATGTTCTTTAAAAAAAAATCTTACCACCTTGCTCTTTTGGTTCTTCGCCAATATTAATCTTTCGCGCGTCTTTCATCGATCTTGAGCTTCATAACTTTATGTATCATTCCGTAGATTCGACCGTGAAACATTCGAACTGAGCCAAGTAGCCTTTTTGTTTAATACAAAGTTAGCCATGATTACTTTACATATTACGTTGCGACTAAAAAAAAGAAAGAAGGTCTCTATTTACGTATCCGTATACGTATACTTGTTTTTGATTGTTCTATATTCGCTCGTATATATCACACTCGTGTAATTTGCATTATTAAGCGTTAAAAAAACGAACATCTAAATTGTAGAAAATCGGCCGTATACACCGATAAAGTTACGTCTGGTGAATAGATAGAATGGAGTCAAGTGCGTGTAAAATCGTTGGGCACGTCGAGTATAATGGGGAAGCCCTCGTCCAATTGGGGTTCAAGTGCCTTCCTCGTCGTACTCACCCCTCCGGAACCCCGAATTCCGGTAGTCAGCTGTTTCTAGCGATATCTTTGTCCCTCTGTAGCCGGAGAGGTTCCCTAGCATCCTCTCGCTTTGTCGTAGACAGATATATAATCACCAGAGGCCTCTGAGCTCTATCTCACTTTTTGGTCACCGCCTCTTCTCTCTTCCAACTCAGCTGGGTCTTAAACTGTTCGTCTTTCGTTGTTCGGTCCTTTCCCTTTCTCTCTCTCTCTCTCTCCATCACTTCTCTCTGTTACCATCTCTTTCTTTCTCAAAGTAGTTCTCGTTTCGCTTTTACCTACGATGTTCCTCCCCTAGCCTCCTTCTCGCGCCCTTTAGTCTGGTTTAAGGCCCTCTCCTTTCGGTTCTTTTTTTATTTTTCCCTCCCGCTGTAGGACCACTCTTGAGGTCCTCTCTCTTTATGCATACAAAGGTGTAGGGATTATTTTATGAGTTTTCGTGACGTAGGCGCGTGCTTATTCAAAGACAAGAAACGGGATTTTATTGAACCCAAACCTTATTCTTTACGTCCTTCTATAAATACTAAATTCAAAAAGGGAAAAGGAATTTTAATATTCAAGAAGAAAGGCGATGTTGCGCTCTCGTTTCATCTAACACAGTTTCGGCCCAGGCTGGCTCAAACGGCCCCAAGGAAAATAACCTCTCTCCACCTTGGCGTCGTTTTGCTCGCGTATTCCTGAATCAACTCGGTGTCTTCCATTCAATAACTGCAACAAGATTTATAGTCGATGAATCGTTTGGATCGCACGAGCGCGCGCGCGCGCACGCGCTCCGCTTATACTTCTTCGATCGACGCTTCTTCGAAAGCAGTTCGCATTATAATATGGGCCACAGTATAACCAGGTTGTAAATTATACCATTAGGAAGCGATATCGACTGATGTCAATCGTGATACGTAACATTGAGGACTATACATTCTGTTTTAAATTTCCTAATTCCCCAATCTGATATATTACATTGCATTTTAATCCTTGTATCAATAAACAAAATTTTCAATTATTCAATTTTTGTCAATAAAATTTTAAAACTTGGAATAAGAAAAAAATCCGAAAGAAATATGAATACTGTTGGATTTGAAAATTTTTTAAGAAAAAAATAATAAATTTTTAATTTTATATTAAATAAAAGAATTTAGATATTATAATATAAAGGTTAATTTTATGACCTCGTAATACTATACCTTCTTGCATTTATGTGAAGATTTAATTGTATAAGTTACAAGTGTGGAAATCGGGACGGAATGCGCGGCGATCGTAGGAGGAATCGTAGGAATGGGAAAAGGCGATTGATCGGCTTGCACTCTCGTCGAACAGGTTTCTATGCGCTTGGCGGATCGAAAGTCGTTGACTCATTTCGCTGGGCAAGTGCTCTTCAACGTCCACAGTGTACAAGCTTGATACCTACACATGTAACAAAATTTATCGATACAGGATTATGGATTATTTCGTCGTAGATTAAAGTCTCGTGGGTAAATATAGAGCCATCAACGTCTACCGGCATTCATACCGAAAGCCTATAATAAATAATTTGGCTTTATCGTCACGCACCTACGAAAACCGATTCGTGGATATGATGTTATTGCCGTCGGTGAAAACACCGGTTCCTGAAAAGATGACGAATTTGTATATTTTGTATATCTTAGCGTGAATAAGAAAAATGTTCTTACTCGTTGAAACAAACCCATTGTCGAAACAAATTATTCTTCTCATCTTCCATCTTTTTAATTAAATGAGTCTCGAACAATTTGGAGGTTAGGAACATTAAATTCTCGCGTAAAAAAATGAGTAAAATTATATTTGTATATTTTTTTTTGGTAATAAATCTGAAAAATAAAATAATTATTTAGTTTAGCGTTATTATATGCACTTATTTTTACGATAAGATAAGTTATAATATAAATTATAATATAAAAAATTAAAATAAAAAGATAATTGTCAGTTTAATGAGTTCTAATTTTAACAATGCCAGTCTAATGTTTTTCTTCTTTGTAAATTTATATTTGAAATCATATAAAAATTTTTTCTTATTTCTTATTAAAATGAATAAAAATGTAATATTATTTTCAAAATAAAATAAAGTTTTTAAGAAAAATAACGAGTGATATAATTAAAAAAGTTACTAAATTAAAAATTTACCAAAATTAATTAAAAAATTGAAATATATTTAAGAAAATATTCCACATAGATAATAGATTCAATGTGAAAATATTATATGCATAAAATATAATTTATGGTTTATTAAAATTACACATTGAAATTTGTCAAGAAAAAGATTTTTCAAAGACTACTCATATATCTCTAACATTCAAATTTTTCGTCGCGTGATTCAAAACGTGGGAGCAACCTACCTTTATTCATTTTTCAGAGGCGATAATTTTTCTAACTATTATGTAATAAACGCGAGTGTGGCCAAGAAACACAAGATGCCGTTCCATGATGATTTATCGCCCTCTCTTCCCCCTCCTCTAACGGTATTCATGCTAAACGTCGTTGGTAAATGTGCGATAAGTGATTGAAGAAGTGATTATACCGCCCAAATCGCACAAATCAGAAGAGGGTATAGACACGGTATCATTAACTCCGTTTTATTGCGGATCGGTGTTACGGGAACACGATCTCGGGACAACATTAACGCTCTCTTGAGTACTACCGTACTGCTCAGTTGTATATACGTATCACGATCGAGGCGAAGAAACTTGATTGCGCGGAATGCATTTGTATCATTGGCCGTGATAAACATCAAAGGGTACACGCGGTTGAAATTCATTGTGATTTATGGGGGGGCCGGCGAAGCGTTAGTATCGCCACCGTTTTCAGATGTAAACGTCTCTCTTATTAAATGTGTTACGGTAATGAAGCAATATAATATGATATCGGCCGTATAATGAATCGTCATAGATATAAACGGATCTTTTATTTGGATGGACAACCATTTATTTAGATAATTCACAATGAAAAAAGAGAGACGAAAAAAAAAGAGAGGAGAAATCATATTTATCCGACAATTATTATCGCCTGCGTAAGATTGAAACGGTTAGTTACATTTATCGGCCACGTTCCTCTTCCACTCGATAGCAATTTTCAAGATGCATGGACGTGGTTCACAAAAGCCTCTCTTTCTGTCCTGTCGTATCACTTTCAGGGGCTGTTTTCAAATGCGACCGAAATTTATGGCCCCTCATTGAAGGGTCTGCCGCGTCTATGGGGTAATTAGAGGGCGTGAAGACGGAGGTTCGAATACTATCTGTACACCCCCGTGGTTCATTTATTCTCTGTAAAACTGCCTCGTTTCCCGGAGGTATCCTTGAACGAATTATAATTCTTGTTTCATGCTTTTCGTACCACAAAATGATTCACAAAAATGAAATCAATATTATTAAATTATATTTGTTTAAGTGTCGTATTGTTTTTTTTTAAATAAAAATATCATAAATATTAAACAGAAAAATAAGAGATGTGTTTTTTTTTATTATGGAATCAGGAAAAGAAAAAAAAAATAAAGATCAAGGTTGTTTGGTAAAAATTATGTAGCGTAACGTACTGTGAAGATTGAATCGTCTGATAATTCAACCCTATTCCTTCGTAAGGCTGACCCTTCGAAATTGATTAAAAAATGCAAAATACGTGTTAGAAGTCGAACGAATCGGTGTAGTGTATATCCGTGTTCTTTTTTTGATTTACGCGCATCGATATCGCATGGTGGTTATGGGCGATCTTTATTGGATGGTTCGTCTAGCCTC